TTTTTTTCCCATTTCCATCAAGACATCAAGAAAATTATAAAAGAATAAAAAATGTCATTTCATGCATTTTTCTATTTTTGGTTTATTTTTACATTTAGTTGCTTTTATTGCATTTTATTTTGTGTATCCATTTTGCTGAATTTTGTTTATCCATTTTATTTTACATTTTGATGTGATTCTTTTTGCCATGATTAGATTAGAGTATTAGGTCCCCCTTGGAATTACTTCACATTTTTGTGATTTAATTTTAATTAGTTTTGAATAAGGAACTTTAGGGTGCTAGAATTAGGGTTTCAACTTGACATAGGTGCATTTCAACACATAGTTTTTTGGATTTCTAGTTTGATTTAGGCCTTGGGGTTTATGTGGGGTATAAGGTACATAGCTAGGGTCCTTTATAAATAAATCTAGGATTTTATAATGAATATTCCCATTTTATTTGATTTTTGCAAGTTGATTGATATTGGTGTGTTTCCCTCTTGGGAAGTTGCTCTGTTTGTTGAGTTTTGGGCCTTTTCTTTGGATGTTGGGGTTTGTGCTTGGCTTGAGGATTGTATAAAGACCTTGAGGATGATTGAAGACAAATAATGATGCTTGGAGCTTGGAGTTGCCTGTGCCTGAAGATTGCTTGATGAAGACTTAGGAGATAGGAGATATAGGGAGAGCTCTAGAGTAGACTGATTTCTTCTGTCAAATATAGAGAGCTTTTTGTGCCTCTATTCCATCCTATGACACAAGGTCCCCTAAAAGAGTTCCATCTCTCCTTAGGAGGGATGTAGAGCATACTTTGATTGGGTAGAATCTTGAGGATAACTTTCACCAGCTGTGTTAAGATCTTAGTGATTTCCCTGGATTATCATTAAGCCTCTTAACATTTCAACTTCCTCTATTACTTGATTCTCTCCTGTGAGTTTGTTTTGAAGTTGAAGACTTATTGGGGATAAGAAGATTGGATAAGAGGAAGCTTGTACCTGTCAAAGTTGGATATCTGTTGAAGATTAGGGTTTTTACTGCAGCTTGAAGCAGTTTGTTGTTTGGATTCATTGATTGCTAAAGCTGAAGATTATTGGAGATAAGAGTTTATCTGAAGCTTGAATATCATTGGAGAGTGAAGATAGGATCTTGCCCAAAGTTGTTACTGTCAACCTGTTGCTGTTTATCAACTGTAGCTGCCAGAGCTGGTGTGTTTGAACTTGCTTGCTGTAGGAGCTAGTGTGGCAGTCTGAGCTGGTGTTGGGTGTGGTTTTCTTTGCTGTATTGTTTGTTGATTTTCCCTTAGGTTTGACGTGAAGCTGTTTCACTTTGCCTATTGTTTGCCGTTGCATCTCATTCATATTTACTGTTTACTGTATATCTGCTGTTTCTTTTGCCGTTTACCCCCTAGGATCTTTGATTTCCTCTGTGCAGGAGGGAATTATGACAGACATTAGGTGTTAATCCATGCATGATAACATTAGGGTAGTTTTGATTCCCATTTCTAACCCTAGGTTTTTTTAGATTTCTTTCTCTTCTATCTCAGAACAATTCAAAACACAGTAATAAGGACGATCGATGTCGTACGCTACGAGCCTTAAGCTATTTGAGAAAGGTTGCTGGAGGGTCACTCTTCAGTAATCTGATTACTTAGTGTGTTACCCTTAGGGTGACATACGACGTAGTCACCCTCAAACATCAAAGTGTCATTTTTTGTCCGCTTGGACCCTTAATCAGGAAAAAACCCTTTCTTAAGGAGATAAAAAACATCAAGACAAGCTTGTGTCTTCCGTAGCCCGAACTACGTTTGCTCTGATCTTTCATGCCGTATGAAAGTACGTAGGCATAGGATGCGATATCCTAGCGAGCAACCTTCCCCTCCTTTCCCGTAGGTAGGCGAACTACGTTGACTCTGATTTCTCGTTCCAGACGGGAATACGTAGGCATAAAGTGCGATACTTTGCCGAGTCATTTTCTTTTCTTTTTAACCCAGACCTGTAGAATAGATAGAATAACAATCCGTACTAGAAAACAAGCGTGGATCCCGTCGAGTACGACGGACGTGAGGGGTGCTAATACCTTCCCCTTGCGTAACCGACTCCCGAATCCAGGATTTGGTTGAGATGACCATTCCTTTGCCGTCTTTGCGGTAGGTTTACTTCGAGCGTTTCCTTTCCCTCCGTTGGGATAAATAACGCACGGTGGCGACTCTTCTGTTTAGCCGACACCGATTTTCGCAGTAGCGACACTTATTTGTTGTGATTAGAAAGTTTCAATTTGATTCTTTTGTGATTCTGATTAGTTTTAGGTTTTTTCATTTAGGGGTTTTATTGTAATATGTATCTCATCAATTATGCAAATCAGATTTAATGTATCCAAAAAGATTTGATTTAATATTCTTTTTAATATTTGATCCTTTTCCTTCTGATTTTGCGCATGAACAAGGGTTTGTGAATTGTGGATGGACCCAATTTGGTCAACAATTGACCATATCTAAAAATGTTTTTTGGAAATAAAATACTTTATTAAACAAAAAATCACTAAATACAAGTGATCCCTTCAGATCCAGCTACACATCACAGCATCAACAGACTAAAAAATGCAAAAGCAACCTACTATCAAGACACCTATCCCCCCTCTATCATTAAGGTAGCTATATATTTTCTGAGTTTCTTAGTATTCCATCCTCTATACTCCAGTGAATCTAAAATTTTCTGTCCTATTGTATTGATCTCAGTCTTCTTCCCAAAAATTTTGTTGTTCTTAGCATTCCAGATCTCATAGATTGTCTCAGAAACTGCCATTTTTATGACTGCAACATGGACTCCTTTACCTTTGGTTTGCTGAATAAGCCACTTCATCTCATTATGCCAGCCTCCGGGGTTATGATTAATTTGGGTCCATCTTAGAATCTCTTCCCATATGGTTTTTAGACTTTCACACTCAAAAAATAAATGGTTTAATGTTTCTTCTCTCGTACATAAGCAACAAGTACTATTATCCAACATACCGTACTTAAGCAGTCTGTCCTTTGTTGCTAATCGCCCATGGCAAGCAAGCCACAAAATGAAATTGGCTCTCGGTCTCGCGTTATTCCCATAGACCAACATTTTCCATTCTACCAGCTGCCCGCGCTCGCGTAGTTTCATATACATTTTGCTCATTTTAATTTTTCCTCCTACCATGATATCTTCCAGATTTCCCAAGTTTCAAAACTCTTCCCTTAGATTGAGCACACTTTTTATAATCCAGGAATCACTCTTTTTACACAGGACCTCCATCAGTTCGTTGGTTTTAAGGTAATAAGTTTGTATCCATTTAACCCAAAGCGAATCTTCTTTCTCATTCAAATTCCATAACAATTTCATCAAAGTTGTTTTATTCGAGTCTTCAATGTCAATGACATTCAAACCACTATGGCTATGTGGTCTGCAAACATGTTTCCATGCCACTGGTCGACTTCCAGATCTTAAAAGGAAGTCGACCTTCTTGGAACCCCGAGGCTTCAATTACACTCTGCTTTGTCAACTCACCCATGCCAGCACAATAAATTCGACATTTCTGCAGATTCACTGCTAGACCTGTAGCCTTCGAAAAATTCCCATATGTCTTCATCATCATTTCAACCGAAACCTTATCTCCCCTGGAAAACATAAGCAGGTCGTCCGCAAAGCAAAGGTTTGTGATTTTTAATTTTTCTCATTTAGGGTGATAATTGAAATCACAATCTTCCTGCATTTTGTATAAGTATATGTTCAAGAATTCCATTACAATGACAAATAGCATAGGTGATATAGGATCACCTTGTCTAAGCCTCCGTTTCGCTGCCGTGATTTTAGTTTGATGCTCGTTTACGTTAAATCGATAAGAAACAGTTGATACCATCGTCATTATCCAATTAGTGAACTGTTGTGGGCATCCCACCTCCTTCAAAATCTTTTTCAAGCGCATTCCAATCAACCGTATCATACGCTTTTTGAATGTCCATCTGCATTAAACATTGTGGAGAGATATTCTTTCTTTCGTATCCTTTAATCAATTCATACGTGATGAGAATATGTTTATGAATTTTTTGCCCTTTGATAAACACTGCTTGATTCTCACATATTATCGTCCCGAGTACTTTGCTGAGTCGATTGGCCAAAATATTGGATATGATTTTGTACAGGGTACTACAGCAAGCAATATGTCGATAATCTTGTATCTTGTTCGCTCCCTGATGCTTAGGAATTAGAGTGACAATAGAGCAATTAGCAGCTCTGCACATACGATTATTCTTGAAGAAATCCTGCACAGTTGCTATGACATCCACTTTAATGATCTACCGGGCTTTCTTAGAGAAATAGGCTCCAAATCCATCAATCCCAGGTGCCTTATCATTACCAATGCCCTTGAGGGCTATAGTGATTTCATCTTCGGTTACAGAACTAGACAGCATATCTCTCTACGTATTATTCAGTTGCCTGCCTGTTCTCATTGCCTTTGTATCGATGCCGTCAAGTTCATTCAATTTCAAACCCATCAAATTATTGTAAAATGTTATGACTTTGCTTTACATCCCTTACTGATCTATAACAAAGGTACCATCCCCTCTTTGAATTCTCGTCATGCTTTTGAGCTGTTGTCGCATCTTTATGGCGGCATGGAAATATTTGTTGTTCCCGTCACTTAATCGTAGCCAGTCAATTTTGGCTCGTTGTCTCACCATGATATCATCCAGTTCCTGAAATTTAAGAAGATTTCCAGAATAACCTTTAACTATATTAATCTTGTCTCTATTCAATCGATCCGTCATTAAGTTCGCTTGCACCGTGTTCAGGTTGTTCTCTAGCTTGTGCTATTTTCCTGTGAATGTCAGACAATGGTTTACTCAATTTCCTGATGTGGGGTTGTAGCCTTTGCAGTTTCTTCCACACAACAAACATTGGTCTTCCTTCTAAAGGCTCATTCCAACTGTTGCTTACAACTTCCTGGAATTTATGAAAGTTAGCACAACAGTTTATGAATTTGAATCCCTTACTAGGCTGCTAGACTTCAGTATTATCGTCTAACACAAGCATGTCATGATCAGATATGCTGGGATTCATATTTGTTAAAGTTATATCTCCATTATGTTGCAGCCACTCTACATTGCAAAGAACATGATCAATTCTTGAGTAAATCGCATTGTCTCCCTGTTTATTCGACCACGTGGAATAATCTCCAGCGCTTTCTTTTGCATAGAGTCCTGTTTTACTCATCATTTCAATCAAGTCTATGTATTCATGTTCTGTAACATCATTTCCGCCAATTCTGTCTTCAGTTTTCAGAACATTGTTATAATCACCAATTAGGATCCACAATCCAGTTTGTTGTGCAGAAATCTTATGTATGTCACGCCACAGTTCCTTCCTGCGATGCAACTGGTTTTGTGTGTAAATGGCTGTCATCCAACACAGGAAGTTACCATGTACATCCTTTACCTGACAATGTATCAACTGATTCGTACTCTCCATTGATTCCACATGCCTTCTATTATCATCCCAATGGATCCAAATTCTGCCATTATCATGGTTTGAATAGTTATCTGTATAGTTACCTTTTAACTTCAGTTTCTGTCGAATACGCATTTCATTCTTTGCCTTCACTCTTGTCTCGATTAAAGCAGAAATTGCAGGGGTTAGTTTTTGGAGACGAGAGCTGATCTCCCTAACTTTGCCCGCTTTATTCAGCCCTCTAATGTTCCAAGAGACGATCATGGGACATCTTCTAGGAACACCGAGGTTGAACCATCCCCGAGTGCTGCATACAAGTTCCCGTAGTTCTTCGTTGGATTTTTAGTCTTTAGACTTCTAGCAGTATCAATACCTTTGGCTTTGACATTGTCTTTTTTCCTAACCTCTGTCCATGGCATACCTTCATCTTCACCTGTGTGTTTACTAGTTGCCGTTTGCACGATTGCCCCAGCTTTGGGATGTTCCTTGACTGCTGTTTTTTGTGTAGGTGTCTTTAAGGTTTCATCTTCATCGGCAACTATCCTCTTATCTTGGTTCTCCTTCTATTTGGGAATCCACTACTTTAATGGATTTTTTGGTTGCTTCTCCTCACATTTGTGCCCGATATGCTGACATTTAGTGCAGTATGGAGGCCGCCATTCATATTCTACCCGTTGTTACATCTTCTCCCCTTTTTCATCCGTTATAGCTATCTCAGTAATGAGTGCTTGTATGATATCGATTTTTACTAGGACTCTAGAATATGAGATTCGGTATTTGTTCGCGGTGCATTCATCAGCCATCAATGGGGTTCCCAACACACTCGCTATTTTCGCCAAATTTTTTGCTCCCCATAGGTGCAGTGGCAATTGAGGCAGTTTAATCCAAATAGGGATAGTATGCATCATATCATTCTTCAAGTTGAAGTTTGGTTTCCATTCAGCTAACAACATCGGCATGTTCCGTATGGTGTACGGACCTTTCATGAGCACATCATCCCTTTCCTTGTGCGAATGAAACCTTAGCACAAAATATCCTTCATTGTTGTAGTACATGTCAGGCAATTTGACAAAATTCCACTGTTTTATCATAAATTGTTTGACCATGTTCATGCTTAGGTCTCCTCCCATAACATACATGATCAAGGCAATCTCCCAGAATTTAACCTCTTTTACCATATCTGCTTCTTCAATTACTACTTCTGCAATACCATTGACAATCTTTGGTGTGACGAATTCCAATGCTAAGCCATTTCAGGATTCCAATTACCACTTATAACATCAACCCATAGTCGTCTAGGTTCTGTTGCCCCTTTTGGATAAATTAGGTTTTCGGATCCAGTGATTTCCTATATTAACACACTCTTCTCTGTTTGTTTCTCTATTGCATGGTGGTTGGGTTCTGTGGTTGGAATCGGATTTTTCTATGATGGTGCATCATCATCTTTGTTGCTAATGGATGATGACGGCGTTGACACCACCTTCAGTGCTCATCCTCGCCTGCCCATTTCTCTTATAAAAATAACACCTTAATGATTTTACACGCCCCCTCCTTTTAATTAGAAATAAAAAGCTAATTAATCCTAATTTAATTATACTAATAATATTTATAATAATAGTCCAACATTTATAATGTGTTTAATAATATTATTAATAATATCCCAAGTAATAATATAAATCTGATTAATTAATAAGAAAAAAATTAACTTAACTCTCATTAATCCTACTATTATGATTTAATCCATTCCTTATTAAAAATAATCTTAAGGGTTAAATATGTTACAGATCCCTATAAATATCCCAAAATCTAGTTTGAATCCCTAGAATATTTTTGTTTAAAGAACCGTCCTCATAAAGTTTTTCGTCCTTGCAGTCTATTCCATTTAATAGAGCTGACGTGGCACGCCACATGGCTTTGCCAGTGTGGCAAGATACTAATGTGTCATGCCACATTGCTAAGGTCAATATCATATTTGAACCTGTAAAATTTCATAATTAATCGATAGCTAAAATTTTAGCTAATCTATAGCTAATTTATTGCATGAAAAATGCAGTATAAAACCCTTCCTTTCCATAACTTCAAACCCTTCCTTTCCATAACTTCAAACCCTTCCTTTTCATTCTCACTTAATAATGCAGTCTGAACAACAATATTAACAACAATGTAATGATGTAGTTTTAGTAATTTATTGGGGGTGGTTCATTGAACTTGTTAACATTCCAGAGCATCACTACAATAGTAGAAAAAGTAATATTTCAGGGGCAAAACTATAACCTGAGAGGTTTACGAAAACATATAAATTTAAGAAGGCGTCATATTTTTAACAAATCATTCTTTACCTTGGGGGAATTTCAAGAACAAACTAAAATGATTCTCGAAGAGGGATGTCTGGGGTGATCTCTCAAAGCTTAGTCCTACCTTGGAATTTTCTTGGATGAGAATGTGTAGAAATCGTAACAGATGCATTAAGACCAGTGGATTATAGTAGCCATTTATTATACTTGGTTGGGGATATTTTCTACATAATATATCTTTTACACCCATTTCCTTAAAGAATTAAAATTTAAGAGTTCCTATTGTAAAATCTTCTAGTTCTGAAAACTTACTAGACAAAACCAATCCAGGGATTAATTAATTCAATGCATCATAAACTGATTGAAAGTAGTACCAAAAAAAATTTAATTGAATAATACAATAACTTTATCAATAATAATCTTAGAGAATGATTCTCAATTAGAATATTTAACACTCAGTACAAGTATGAAAAAAAGGTTACAAGGAAATAAGACACAGAAGGATAAGGAAGCAAAAAAGGTTTAAGGAAAATCCAAAATTACCCTCATAATAGTTTAAAATTTAAGGGCAATTTTGGTTTTTTGGGGGTTGAAAGTGAAAGTGGGGGCGGGGAAGCTGCTCCCGTGACCTTCGAAATGGCCAAATACGCCTCCAATGCTGAATCACGCTGCTATTCCTTCTCCCTTCACGGTCGACCTCTGTGTTGTGCCACTATCAGTCCCCATCGACTTCTATGATAGAATCTATTGGTTAATTGAATTGAGTAGGAACAAATATCCTAAGTGCTAATATTGAGTTCTCCACCACAATCTCAACCATAATTCTTTATGTATATATATCTTACTACATGCTAGTAAATTATTCCTCTCATGAACCCTACCTTTAGTGATATGTTATAATTGAGGTTAGGAAATATAACAAAAATTTCTGCAATTGTTTTTTTTTTTTTTGCATTCTTTCAGACCATAATTTCTGCAACGAATTTGCTAGAGATTAGCTACGACTTTAGCTACGATTTTTTATGGGTTCAAGTGTGTTCTTGACCTTAACCACGTGGCATGCCACGTCAACATATTTGATTGGTGGCAATGCCATGTATTGTGCCACATCAACTTCTGTTGAGTGGAATAGACGGCGGGGACGAAAATAGGGATGAAAAATTTTGTGAGGACGATTCTTTGAATGAAAATGTTCGGATTAAAACTAGATTCTTAGATATTTATAGGGACTAAAAACATATTTAACCATAATCTTAATAATATTTCAACATTAATAATAGTATTAATAATCCAATAAACCCAATTATGACACTAATTATAAGATACCAATCATTCTAAATAATAATTTAATAATATTTTAATGTAATAAATTATTTTACTTAACTTAGCTAACAATTAATAACCTAAGTTATAATAGTAATAAAACTAATAATACTTAATAAAAATACTAAGACCTAAATAAAAATAAAAATATCCTAAATAAAGTTTAATGTTAATTTAATCACTAATTTAAATAATAATAAAATTCTTAAATGCCTCTAAACACCTTAAAACCAAATTTCACTACATGGCTAAAAATAGTAACCCTAGGCATAAAATGAAACCTTAAAAGAGAATAAAAGTCAAAATGGTTCTCCTTTGACTTTTTAGATTATTAGGGTTGATCAGATGATTGGTGAAGGGACTCAGGACATATTAGTGTCCCATATTCTAAATTAAAAAGGAAAGAAATGGTGGTCAAAATTTAGGGTACGACAGCTACCCCTATTTAATCAACTTCAAAATAAGAGTATCATGACAGTGAGCTACCATCTTCTTATGGTGGAAGATGATTAAATATAAAGAGAAACTCTAATTTTGATCACGTAGTTGATATATTCCGGGGATGAGTAAGGATTGCACAATCCTTAATGCTCTGTTAATATACCAGCCCACCTTTGATAGAAACCCTAGTAGAATCCCTGTTGATTAACTTGTTTATGATTTTCATGATCATAGAAGTCGGATAGGATTCTGACAAACCTTTGATCTTTATTTGATAAAAAAACCCTGGTAGAGTCCATAATGGAACCCCTAACAAAACCCTTGGTGAAATTCTTGATGAAACCCCTAATACAATCTCTAATGGAATCCATGACGATAAGACCCTGATGAAACCCTTTGATAGATCCCTGATGAAACACCTTGATTAATCACAGATAATCAGTTTCAACCTCTTTGAGTGACACTTGCATATGATTCCTATGATCATCCGATCATGTTACTAGAATTGGGTAGGACTTTAGTGATACCCCGATCACTCTAGATGAAACCCCTTGATAAAATTCTGGTGAAACCCCTTGATAAAATTATGGTAGAACCCCTTGATGGAATCCTTTGATAATAACACTTTACTGAAACTTCTTGGTAAAACCCTAGTGAACCCTTAGTAGGACCTTGTGAATAATGCTCTAATGAAAACCATTTGATAGAACCCTCTTTAATAAAAATCCTTTGACATAATCTCTTGATAAAACCCTGGTATATTTGATAGAACGTCTCCTGTGGGTGGGACATGTTAATAAGCTGGGAATGTGAGAGGTGAATACCATTCACTAGTTAATAACAATCATTCGGGATGACTGACTAATTGATAGATTCCTTTGAAGACTTCTGGTGAATAAGCTTTCTGGGGAAGTCTTTTATTGAAAAGTGTTTATGGGAGTGTTACTTACTGGGGTTGGCCAATAAGCATTCTTACTTGGGAATTATACTAGTATAGTTGGGGATTAGACCTCTAAGAGTGGTCATAAATCCTATGTTATGTATGCATGTTCATGTGTATGCATGTTTTGATGTATGCCTTTATGCATGATGCATTATTTGGGCTGACACCTTTTTTATGATATGTGCATGCAATGTACGTCTTTTGTGAAAACTAGTGTTTTTGTGAAGTTCAGACTCTCCGACCTTTCCGGACTATGATGTAGC